GACGATCCCGAGGCATCCCGGGCCGTCCGCGAAAGGGGGGGGCAGGCTGCCGCAAGGAAACGCGGAGTCAAATGTTACTGCCACCGTATCTTGACTGTAGATCGCTCGCGCGCTGCCGCCATTTGCGGCTCCAAGCGGACAGACGAGCCCGACCGGCGAAACTAGCCGCAGCGCTTGCTGTTTCTGCACCTTGGGGGCACGGCGTCGGGCCCGTCTCGGCGCAGTGCCGGCTCTGGAGCGTCCCCGGCCGAGCACGGGCCCAGAAGCACGTTCCGAGGTTACAGGTTTGGGCCTCTAGAGGCCCTGGCCAACCGCTCTCTTGGTGAGCTCTCGAGATGGGCTGCCAAACAGGGCGCGACAGGGTCTGGTGTAGATCGCGGGGGGGGGGGGGCTACCCTAGGGCCATGGGGCCTGCCAAAGACCCTGGGGCAGGGCCCAGGGGCCCAGGGGAGGCCTGGGGGAAGGGCCTCTGGGCAGGCCCATAGGAAAGGCCTTCCACCGCAATCTGTATGCCTGGGAAGGGGCCCAGAGCGCACAGGCCCAGATCGGACCACGCAGCGGGACGCCTCCGAGGCTCTCTGGGCGCAAGTCTTCTCGGAGCCCGCCGTGGCACGGTCTCGGGTCGTGCCCGGCCCCTTCTTCAGACCGCCTCGCAGGGCGCCCCGAGGGCCATCCTGGACGACCTCAGGGCCGCCTCGGGGCCCCTCGGCGCCATTATGCTCGGTAACAGCGGCAAGCCAGTACAGTCCAAAGGCGTGCATGCACACACGACTGAACGAACGACGCCTGCACGCACAATCGATTGCGCGCACTACGTTTTTACGCTCGTGCAGCGGCGAAAGGGGCTGTAAAGGCCACGGCATGCCATTGCACGGCGAGGTCGATGACACGACGACGCCGCCAGCAGGCTGGGGGGTCCAGCGGGCCCCCGCGCCCAGGGGCCCCACGGAGCTCAGACGCGCAGAGGCAGGACGAGGCCCTTGTCCTTCCCCGCGCCGCCCGCCGCCCCCCGCGCGGCGCGCCACCCGGACAGAGCGATGCGCAGCACCGCCAGGGCCGCCGCCGCCTGCGCCACGGAGCGCGCGGCGCCGCTCCAGGCGCCGCGGGCGCGCCTCGGGGCCTCCAGCACCGGCAGCACCTCCTCCTCGCTCCAGGAAGTGGTGGCCGCCCCCAGCTCCCCCCGCTCCCAGTCGCCCGGCGAGGCCTCGACGTGCTGCCTGCGCTCCTCCTCGGACGCCGTGGCCCTCCCAGAGGACCAGCGACCCGGAGCGAAGGCCGACGCATCCTCGGCCACGTGCGGGTACGGGCAATCGGCGGGGAAGGCGTTGTGGAGGAACTCGGCGAAGAGCCGGCCGTGCAGGGGCACCTCCCCGCCGTTGCGGCCCGCGATGTCGCGCAGCCTCGCCTCGGCGGCGTCGGGGGGCAGGCGCATGTCTGGGGACGCGGTGAGGTTGCGGACCTCCGACATGATGCGGCCCGGGGTGGCCGCGGGGGCCTGGATCTTGCCCTCCAGCTCGTTCAGCAGGCCCTCGCAGTCGCTCAGGCAGCACACCGAGTAGTACGTCGACTTGGCGATGCAGTTGGAGGGCCCCACCATGTAGTTGGCGATGCGCACGCTGCTCGTGGCCTCATCCAGCGCGCCGATCTGCCGGAGGTAGTCGACGGACTCGTGGAACTGGTAGTCCGCCGTCTCTGGCTGCGAGTAGAAGGCCCGGAGTGGCACGCGCCCCGAGCCGTCCGGGTCCAGCTCCTCCAGTTCCTGCCGCATCTGGCGGCACTCGGTGTTCTGCCACTTGCCATAGTCCTGCGCCAGGCTCTCCACCACCCGAGAGGCCTCGCCGAACGAGTAGCGGCGCGCCACGAACGGGTTGGTCCGGTGGTAGCTCTCGAAGTCGTAGTTGTGTACCGCCGCCTGCTCGAACTCGACGAGAAGCGGCCAGCTGCCTCCGGCGCTGGCCACGGCGTCCTTCATGGCGCGGTGCCTCGGGACGTCTGTGACGTTCGTCCGGACGCCGATCTCGAAGATCATCAGGTAGGACGACAGCACCTCGTGCAGCTCCCTGGCCCCCAGCCGCTCCGCGGCGGACTGCCCGTTGAGCGCGTAGGCCACCTGCAGCAGGGAGAGGGACTCGTCGAAGATGAGGCGCTCCAGGGCCGCCGCCATGGCCACCACGTCGCCGAGGGACAGCCCCCGGCCAGCGCGGCGGGACTCGAGCAGGGCCTCCACAAAACGCCGGGGCCTTGTCCTGCAGGATGTCCACCTCGTGCACCTCGGAGACGTTCGCGCTCATGCCGTGGGGCTCCAGCCCGTTGATGATCCAGCCGTGCTCCTTCGCGAAGTAGCTGTGCACGATGTGGCGCACCGCTCGCGGCGCCAGGCGCCCCATCTCGTTCTTGGGCAGCGCCTGGAACGTTTGCCACATGGCGGACTCGATCCGAGACAGCCGACGTGCCGCGTCGCCGCTGCTGCCCTGCAGGACTGCCTCCAAGGAGGCCCCCAAGCTCGACTCCACGTCCTTCGCCGAGACCGTGCGGCCCGAGGCGGGGCCGCCGCTGGAGCCGCGGAAGCTGCCCGGAGAGCCGTGGCAGAGCTGGGCTCCACAGATGAAAGCGAGCATGACAGCGCCACACTGCGCCATTGTCGGGTTTCTTTGTTGAGAATCTAAGGGTCGCGCACAGAAAAGGATTAGGTCGTTGGTGCACGCTTGAGCCTGGAGACGGCGGCGGCCACATGCGGGCGGTGGCATAGATGGCAGCGGCAAAGACGACGCTGCGCATGGTGCTGGAGACTGTGACGGTAGGCTCTGCTCTCGTGAATCCCAGTCGCTGAACGATTGAATCGGTTGTGAAATCGAGCCTCGATCAGAAGAGGGGGGGAGGACGTCCACGAGGATGCGCCGTCCAACTACCACTCCGAGGGGCACGGGTGCGTGTGAGACCCACGCGCAAATGTCTGCGGGCACTAAGCGAAAGCGCTTCAGCCGCTGCTGCCTCTAACGTCTGAAGCACATCTTCGGATAGTCTGATGCCATGCCGCACTGCCCCACCATGCTCGCAGCGCAGCAGATAGCTTTACGCCAGGCCCCTCGTAGCTATTTACCCACGGACTACAGTCAACCCGTATAAGAAGGATGCGCGGTAAGGATGCAAGGGCCTTGGAGTGCCACGTGAACGTTTTTCGAACGAGGTTGGCCAGCCAAAGCGGCCAAGGATAGACCGAGGAGGCAAGGATATAAGGGTACCCTTGGGAAGGTTGCCAATCCTTACTATGCGGGTTGACTGTACTCTCTGTATTGCAATGTGAAGACCCTCAAGGGAAAGGCAGTGCCAGTACTAAGTCTCAGCTCTCTTGTACGTCGCAAGGCATCGCCCCCCTCCCTGGGACTCCCAGGACTCCAGGGAAGCGCCTCTGAGTATCACGATGGACCAAAACTGTCCCAAGACGGCCCGAAAACGGCCCACGACCAGCCTAAGACGGCCGCACAGACTGCTCGAGGCGGTTTCCAAACTCCCGAAGCAAGAAAGCACGCCCACAAGGACCCGCCGAGGCTCCCACAGAGCCTCCAGGAGCCAGCTGACATGCCAAAAAGATCGAACACACACACAATGATTGCACAAGCATGAACAAGTATCCAAAAATCACCCAGTGCTTCCTCGGGAGCGTTGTGCGTGGGAGTGGAGGCGAGGAGGCGACGGTGGCGACGGCACTGGCAGCAGGAACGAAGACGACGACGGCGACGCCGACCCTTCATTCGCGGCACTGGTCGGGCCCGTTGCTCGGAGAACGCTGAGCGGGGCTGCGAGCGATGACGACGACGGCACCCACTGGCCGCAGACTTGGGGGGGGCCCCCCGCGCCCAGGGGCCCCACGGAGCTCAGACGCGCAGAGGCAGGACGAGGCCCTTGTCCTTCCCCGCGCCGCCCGCCGCCCCCCGCGCGGCGCGCCACCCGGACAGAGCGATGCGCAGCACCGCCAGGGCCGCCGCCGCCTGCGCCACGGAGCGCGCGGCGCCGCTCCAGGCGCCGCGGGCGCGCCTCGGGGCCTCCAGCACCGGCAGCACCTCCTCCTCGCTCCAGGAAGTGGTGGCCGCCCCCAGCTCCCCCCGCTCCCAGTCGCCCGGCGCGGCCTCGACGTGCTGCCTGCGCTCCTCCTCGGACGCCGTGGCCCTCCCAGAGGACCAGCGACCCGGAGCGAAGGCCGACGCGTCCTCGGCCACGTGCGGGTACGGGCAATCGGCGGGGAAGGCGTTGTGGAGGAACTCGGCGAAGAGCCGGCCGTGCAGGGGCACCTCCCCGCCGTTGCGGCCCGCGATGTCGCGCAGCCTCGCCTCGGCGGCGTCGGGGGGCAGGCGCATGTCTGGGGACGCGGTGAGGTTGCGGAACCTCCGACATGATGCGGCCCGGGGTGGCCGCGGGGGCCTGGATCTTGCCCTCCAGCTCGTTCAGCAGGCCCTCGCAGTCGCTCAGGCAGCACACCGAGTAGTACGTCGACTTGGCGATGCAGTTGGAGGGCCCCACCATGTAGTTGGCGATGCGCACGCTGCTCGTGGCCTCATCCAGCGCGCCGATCTGCCGGAGGTAGTCGACGGACTCGTGGAACTGGTAGTCCGCCGTCTCTGGCTGCGAGTAGAAGGCCCGGAGTGGCACGCGCCCCGAGCCGTCCGGGTCCAGCTCCTCCAGTTCCTGCCGCATCTGGCGGCACTCGGTGTTCTGCCACTTGCCATAGTCCTGCGCCAGGCTCTCCACCACCCGAGAGGCCTCGCCGAACGAGTAGCGGCGCGCCACGAACGGGTTGGTCCGGTGGTAGCTCTCGAAGTCGTAGTTGTGTACCGCCGCCTGCTCGAACTCGACGAGAAGCGGCCAGCTGCCTCCGGCGCTGGCCACGGCGTCCTTCATGGCGCGGTGCCTCGGGACGTCTGTGACGTTCGTCCGGACGCCGATCTCGAAGATCATCAGGTAGGACGACAGCACCTCGTGCAGCTCGCTGGCCCCCAGCCGCTCCGCGGCGGACTGCCCGTTGAGCGCGTAGGCCACCTGCAGCAGGGAGAGGGACTCGTCGAAGATGAGGCGCTCCAGGGCCGCCGCCATGGCCACCACGTCGCCGAGGGACAGCCCCCGGCCAGCGCGGCGGGACTCGAGCAGGGCCTCCACGAACGCCGGGGCCTTGTCCTGCAGGATGTCCACCTCGTGCACCTCGGAGACGTTCGCGCTCATGCCGTGGGGCTCCAGCCCGTTGATGATCCAGCCGTGCTCCTTCGCGAAGTAGCTGTGCACGATGTGGCGCACCGCTCGCGGCGCCAGGCGCCCCATCTCGTTCTTGGGCAGCGCCTGGAACGTTTGCCACATGGCGGACTCGATCCGAGACAGCCGACGTGCCGCGTCGCCGCTGCTGCCCTGCAGGACTGCCTCCAAGGAGGCCCCCAAGCTCGACTCCACGTCCTTCGCCGAGACCGTGCGGCCCGAGGCGGGGCCGCCGCTGGAGCCGCGGAAGCTGCCCGGAGAGCCGTGGCAGAGCTGGGCTCCACAGATGAAAGCGAGCATGACAGCGCCACACTGCGCCATTGTCGGGTTTCTTTGTTGAGAATCTAAGGGTCGCGCACAGAAAAGGATTAGGTCGTTGGTGCACGCTTGAGCCTGGAGACGGCGGCGGCCACATGCGGGCGGTGGCATAGATGGCAGCGGCAAAGACGACGCTGCGCATGGTGCTGGAGACTGTGACGGTAGGCTCTGCTCTCGTGAATCCCAGTCGCTGAACGATTGAATCGGTTGTGAAATCGAGCCTCGATCAGAAGAGGAGGGAGGACGTCCACGAGGATGCGCCGTCCAACTACCACTCCGAGGGGCACGGGTGCGTGTGAGACCCACGCGCAAATGTCTGCGGGCACTAAGCGAAAGCGCTTCAGCCGCTGCTGTCTATAACGTCTGAAGCACATCTTCGGATAGTCTGATGCCATGCCGCACTGCCCCACCATGCTCGCAGCGCAGCAGATAATTTTACGCCAGGCCCCTCGTAGCTATTTACCCACGGACTACTCTCTGCGTGGCAATGTGAAGACCCCCAGGAGAAAGGCAGTGCCAGTACCAAGTCTCAGCTCTCTTGCACTTCGCAAGGCATCGCCCCCCTCCCCGGGACTCCCAGGACTCCAGGGAAGCGCCTCTGAGTATCACATTGGCCCAAAACTGTCCCAAGACGGCTCGAAAACGGCCCACGACCAGCCTAAGACGGCCGCGCAGACTTTTCGAGGCGGTTTCCAAACTCCCGAAGCAAAAAAGCACGCCCACGAGGATCCGCCGAGGCTCCCACGGAGCCTCCAGGAGCCAGCTGACAAGCCAAAAAGATCGAAACACAATGACTGCACAAACATGAACAAGTATCCAAAAATCCGCCGATCCGGCGCGTGTGTTTGAAAAAGTCTCAGCTACAGCCTACAGCCTACAGCCTGAGCTTCAGCAGCTTCAGCTCTGCTGGGGGGGGCCGGGGTGCAGGGTGGCTCTGCCGGGGAAGGGGGGGAAGGGGGGGTGGGGGGGGACGAACTGTGATCCGCTTTCCGGGGGGAGGGCTTTTCCGGACCCACGAAGGCCCCGAGACGGGCCAAGAGGGCTCCAAGACCCCCCAAGACGGCCCCAGAAGCCCCCGAGACGCCCAAAGAGCGCTCCAAGACGCCGAAGATGACCTCCAGACGGCCCAAGAGGCCGCCGAGACGCTCCACGAAGCCTCCAAGAGCCATCAGAAGATTACCCGCAGAGGCCAAAATCATCAATTTTACAATGAGTTTGGAAGGATTCTGGCCTTCCCGCATTTTGGCTTCCCGACGCTCCAAGACGGTCCCAGAGGCCCCCAAGATCGCCCCAAGACGGCCAAAGAGGCTCCCAAAATGGCCCCAAGACGGCCCAAGAGAACCCCAAGACTGCCCAATCGTCGTCGTCGTCGTCGTCGTCGTCGTCGTCGTCGTCGTCGTCGTCGTCGTCGTCGTCGTCGTCGTCGTCGTCGTCGTCGTCGTCGTCGTCGTCGTCGTCGTCGTCGTCGTCGTCGTCGTCGTCGTCGTCGTCGTCGTCGTCGTCGTCGTCGTCGTCGTCGTCGTCGTCCGTCGTCGTCGTCGTCGTCGTCGTCGTCGTCGTCGTCGTCGTCGTCGTCGTCGTCGTCGTCGTCGTCGTCGTCGTCGTCGTCGTCGTCGTCGTCGTCGTCGTCGTCGTCAACGGTCGTCGTTAACCCGTTCGTCGGTCGTCGTCGTAATGATCCCACTCGTCGACCGTTGGTCGTCCGTTGTCGTCGTCACCGTCCATCCCAACAATAGCATCAAAAGCGCCCCAGATCGGCGGCACTGGCCGGAGGCCACTACGATCACCCAGTGCTTCCTCGGGAGCGTTGTGCGTGGGAGTGGAGGCGAGGAGGCGACGGTGGCGACGGCACTGGCAGCAGGAACGAAGACGACGACGGCGACGCCGACCCTTCATTCGCGGCACTGGTCGGGCCCGTTGCTCGGAGAACGCTGAGCGGGGCTGCGAGCGATGACGACGACGGCACCCACTGGCCGCAGACTTGGGGGGGGGCCCCCGCGCCCAGGGGCCCCACGGAGCTCAGACGCGCAGAGGCAGGACGAGGCCCTTGTCCTTCCCCGCGCCGCCCGCCGCCCCCCGCGCGGCGCGCCACCCGGACAGGGCGATGCGCAGCACCGCCAGGGCCGCCGCCGCCTGCGCCACGGAGCGCGCGGCGCCGCTCCAGGCGCCGCGGGCGCGCCTCGGGGCCTCCAGCACCGGCAGCACCTCCTCCTCGCTCCAGGAAGTGGTGGCCGCCCCCAGCTCCCCCCGCTCCCAGTCGCCTGGCGCGGCCTCGACGTGCTGCCTGCGCTCCTCCTCGGACGCCGCGGCCCTCCCAGAGGACCAGCGACCCGGAGCGAAGGCCGACGCGTCCTCGGCCACGTGCGGGTACGGGCAATCGGCGGGGAAGGCGTTGTGGAGGAACTCGGCGAAGAGCCGGCCGTGCAGGGGCACCTCCCCGCCGTTGCGGCCCGCGATGTCGCGCAGCCTCGCCTCGGCGGCGTCGGGGGGCAGGCGCATGTCTGGGGACGCGGTGAGGTTGCGGACCTCCGACATGATGCGGCCCGGGGTGGCCGCGGGGGCCTGGATCTTGCCCTCCAGCTCGTTCAGCAGGCCCTCGCAGTCGCTCAGGCAGCACACCGAGTAGTACGTCGACTTGGCGATGCAGTTGGAGGGCCCCACCATGTAGTTGGCGATGCGCACGCTGCTCGTGGCCTCGTCCAGCGCGCCGATCTGCCGGAGGTAGTCGACGGACTCGTGGAACTGGTAGTCTGCCGTCTCTGGCTGCGAGTAGAAGGCCCGGAGTGGCACGCGCCCCGAGCCGTCCGGGTCCAGCTCCTCCAGTTCCTGCCGCATCTGGCGGCACTCGGTGTTCTGCCACTTGCCATAGTCCTGCGCCAGGCTCTCCACCACCCGAGAGGCCTCGCCGAACGAGTAGCGGCGCGCCACGAACGGGTTGGTCCGGTGGTAGCTCTCGAAGTCGTAGTTGTGTACCGCCGCCTGCTCGAACTCGACGAGAAGCGGCCAGCTGCCTCCGGCGCTGGCCACGGCGTCCTTCATGGCGCGGTGCCTCGGGACGTCTGTGACGTTCGTCCGGACGCCGATCTCGAAGATCATCAGGTAGGACGACAGCACCTCGTGCAGCTCCCTGGCCCCCAGCCGCTCCGCGGCGGACTGCCCGTTGAGCGCGTAGGCCACCTGCAGCAGGGAGAGGGACTCGTCGAAGATGAGGCGCTCCAGGGCCGCCGCCATGGCCACCACGTCGCCGAGGGACAGCCCCCGGCCAGCGCGGCGGGACTCGAGCAGGGCCTCCACGAACGCCGGGGCCTTGTCCTGCAGGATGTCCACCTCGTGCACCTCGGAGACGTTCGCGCTCATGCCGTGGGGCTCCAGCCCGTTGATGATCCAGCCGTGCTCCTTCGCGAAGTAGCTGTGCACGATGTGGCGCACCGCTCGCGGCGCCAGGCGCCCCATCTCGTTCTTGGGCAGCGCCTGGAACGTTTGCCACATGGCAGACTCGATCCGAGACAGCCGACGTGCCGCGTCGCCGCTGCTGCCCTGCAGGACTGCCTCCAAGGAGGCCCCCAAGCTCGACTCCACGTCCTTCGCCGAGACCGTGCGGCCCGAGGCGGGGCCGCCGCTGGAGCCGCGGAAGCTGCCCGGAGAGCCGTGGCAGAGCTGGGCTCCACAGATGAAAGCGAGCATGACAGCGCCACAGTGCGCCATTGTCGGGTTTCTTTGTTGAGAATCTAAGGGGTCGCGCACAGGAAAGGATTAGGTCGTTGGTGCACGCTTGAGCCTGGAGACGGCGGCGGCCACATGCGGGCGGTGGCATAGATGGCAGCGGCAAAATCGGCACTGCGCATGGTGCTGGAGACTATGACGGTAGGCTCTGCTCCCGTGAATCCCAGTCGCTGAACGATTGAAACGTTATGATGTGTGGTGTATGCTCCGTATGCTCCGTGATGTCATTGCATGCGTTGTCATGGTGTGTCCTGGTATGTCCTGCTCTGACATGATATGAAATGTTGTGCGGTGGTATGTGTTGGTGCTATCCTACACACATGATATACTGTGTTATGCCGCGCTCTGTCATGGTATGATGTATCATGGAATGTAATATTACGTGGCATGTGCTCTGATGCTCTGCTACGGTGCGGTGTGTTATGTCATGGTATGCCATGTTGTGAAATGGTCTGGCATGGTGTGGATTGGTGTTATGGTATGCTATGCAGCGTAATGGTATGAGATGTTCTGCATGATCCATGATGTCATAGCGTATAATGGTATGCGATGGTGCGCTGAGCTATGATGTAACATGTGAAGCCGCTATATGGAATGTTATGATGTGCCATCTGTGCTGCGATGCGATATGTCATGATATCTCGACTGCGATGATGTGTTATGGTATGGTGTGTTATGTCATGTTGTGGTATGGTTTATATGTTATACCATGATATGATACAATATGAAATGTGTTGGTATGTTGTGCATGCTCCCATAATGCATAGCGTGCGTTGTTATGATGTGGTGTGCTATGATATGTGGCATCATGTTATGTGAGGCTGTGGCATGGTATGTTTGAGTGTGCTCAGTTATGCGCTGATGACTTATGGCATGATTGCTTTATGTTACGAACTGCTATGTGCTATGATACTGTGCCATGGTATGCACTGCTCTGTCATGGTGTGTTATGTTACGATATGGTATGTCATGGTATGGTACGGTATGCTCGGCTATAGTCTGTTAGGTGCTGTGGTGTTGTGATATGGTCTGTCTTAGCGTATAGTGTTGGTACTGTGTTCTGCTATTATATAATACCGCTCTGTCCTGTAATGATTTGTCGGCGTGAGGCGGGACACTCGGGGACACTTGGGGGACTTGGGGATCTGGCGGCCGCAGTATGCAGAGTGGCGCGAGGCGGGACACCCGGAAACACTCGGGGGACTTGGGGGTCTGGCGGCCGCGGTATGCAGAGTGGCGCTAGGCGGGACACTCGGGGACTCTTGGGAGACCTAGGGATCTGGCGGCGGCAGTATGCAGAGTGGCGCGAGGCGGGACTCTCGAGAACACTGGGGGAACCCGGGGATCTGGCGGCCGCGGTATGCAGGGTGGACGGGTCAGAAGGTCTATTTTAAAAATCTAACGACCCCAACCTGTCGGATGGGGAACAATCTCCAGACGAAGGGGGAACGAAGGTATGTAGTGGAAGACATGACGAGGACCTTTACTTCGCGACATTGCTCGCGCCCTCGACGACGAGCTCGGAGAACGCCGAGGCTGAGCTGGGCTGCGAGCGATGACGACGGCGGCGCCCGAAAGCGCCAGGTCCCGGGGGGCCCCCCGCGCCCAGGGGCTCCACGGAGCTCAGACGCGCAGAGGCAGGACGAGGCCCTTGTCCTTCCCCGCGCCGCTCGCCGCCCCCCGCGCGGCGCGCCACCCGGACAGGGCGATGCGCAGCACCGCCAGGGCCGCCGCCGCCTGCGCCACGGAGCGCGCGGCGCCGCTCCAGGCGCCGCGGGCGCGCCTCGGGGCCTCCAGCACCGGCAGCACCTCCTCCTCGCTCCAGGTAGTGGTGGCCGCCCCCAGCTCCCCCCGCTCCCAGTCGCCCGGCGCGGCATCGACGTGCTGCCTGCGCTCCTCCTCGGACGCCGTGGCCCTCCCAGAGGACCAGCGACCCGGAGCGAAGGCCGACGCATCCTCGGCCACGTGCGGGTACGGGCAATCGGCGGGGAAGGCGTTGTGGAGGAACTCGGCGAAGAGCCGGCCGTGCAGGGGCACCTCCCCGCCGTTGCGGCCCGCGATGTCGCGCAGCCTCGCCTCGGCGGCGTCGGGGGGCAGGCGCATGTCTGGGGACGCGGTGAGGTTGCGGACCTCCGACATGATGCGGCCCGGGGTGGCCGCGGGGGCCTGGATCTTGCCCTCCAGCTCGTTCAGCAGGCCCTCGCAGTCGCTCAGGCAGCACACCGAGTAGTACGTCGACTTGGCGATGCAGTTGGAGGGCCCCACCATGTAGTTGGCGATGCGCACGCTGCTCGTGGCCTCATCCAGCGCGCCGATCTGCCGGAGGTAGTCGACGGACTCGTGGAACTGGTAGTCCGCCGTCTCTGGCTGCGAGTAGAAGGCCCGGAGTGGCACGCGCCCCGAGCCGTCCGGGTCCAGCTCCTCCAGTTCCTGCCGCATCTGGCGGCACTCGGTGTTCTGCCACTTGCCATAGTCCTGCGCCAGGCTCTCCACCACCCGAGAGGCCTCGCCGAACGAGTACCGGCGCGCCACGAATGGGTTGGTCCGGTGGTAGCTCTCGAAGTCGTAGTTGTGTACCGCCGCCTGCTCGAACTCGACGAGAAGCGGCCAGCTGCCTCCGGCGCTGGCCACGGCGTCCTTCATGGCGCGGTGCCTCGGGACGTCTGTGACGTTCACCCGGACGCCGATCTCGAAGATCATCAGGTAGGACGACAGCACCTCGTGCAGCTCCCTGGCCCCCAGCCGCTCCGCGGCGGACTGCCCGTTGAGCGCGTAGGCCACCTGCAGCAGGGAGAGGGACTCGTCGAAGATGAGGCGCTCCAGGGCCGCCGCCATGGCCACCACGTCGCCGAGGGACAGCCCCCGGCCAGCGCGGCGGGACTCGAGCAGGGCCTCCACGAACGCCGGGGCCTTGTCCTGCAGGATGTCCACCTCGTGCACCTCGGAGACGTTCGCGCTCATGCCGTGGGGCTCCAGCCCGTTGATGATCCAGCCGTGCTCCTTCGCGAAGTAGCTGTGCACGATGTGGCGCACCGCTCGCGGCGCCAGGCGCCCCATCTCGTTCTTGGGCAGCGCCTGGAACGTTTGCCACATGGCGGACTCGATCCGAGACAGCCGACGTGCCGCGTCGCCGCTGCTGCCCTGCAGGACTGCCTCCAAGGAGGCCCCCAAGCTCGACTCCACGTCCTTCGCCGAGACCGTGCGGCCCGAGGCGGGGCCGCCGCTGGAGCCGCGGAAGCTGCCCGGAGAGCCGTGGCAGAGCTGGGCTCCACAGATGAAAGTGAGCATGACAGCGCCACACTGCGCCATTGTCGGGTTTCTTTGTTGAGAATCTAAGGGGTCGCGCACAGAAAAGGATTAGGTCGTTGGTGCACGCTTGAGCCTGGAGACGGCGGCGGCCACATGCGGGCGGTGGCAGAAACAGCGGCGAAGGAGTCCCTGCGCATGGCGCCGAGTATCAGGGCGGTGGCTGGGGCCCTCCTTCCCGGTGTGTTAAAATCGTTGAAGGATTGAATCGGTTGTGAAAGCAAGCTCCGATTTAGGGGAGGGATGGAGTCGTCTTGGGCGGGGGCACCTACTCCCCTTGAGAGGCGCAGGTGCGCGTGAGATTCGCAAGCAAGGCCCAGCAGGCACCGCGCGAGAGAACTGCGGCCGCTGCTGTTTCGAACTTCTGAATCACATGTTCGGCTCCGCCACCGTGCCCCCTGACACGTCGACGCGTGGTGGGATGGCAAGTGCTATCTGGCAGAGCTTCTGCAAGTCGTCGAGTGGTTCCCCCCCGCTCTCACCACAACCACATGCGTGCACCCGCCCACCCCCCTCCCGAGGCTCCCTGAGCGGCCCGTCCCCTCTCCGGAGCTCTCCTAGGCCCTCACAGGCTTCCAAGACGGCCGAGGATGGCCACCAAGGCCGCCACGATGGCCCAGCAGTGCCTCGAGAGGCACCCTACAGCCCCCAAGAAAACCCCAACAGGCGACAAAGGGGCCGGCCCCCAAGGGGCTTCCAAGACAGGAGAGAGAAGGCCACGCGGCCCTCGAGGACAGCAAACCCACTCAACAGCTTGTGCTTGGCTTTTGATTCTTCCGCGGTGCCCGCGCCTCTCGGCTCAAGACGGTTCCAAGAGGGCTTCGGAGGAGCCCGCAAGAAAACCAAAAGAGCCCCACGAGAGCCTCAAGAGGCCCGCCGGCCCAGAACAGCCCCCAGAGACTCCACAGACGGCCGAGAGGGGCCCTAGGCGGCCCCAGGCGGCACCAGGACAGCCCAAGAGCATCCCAGGACGGCCCCAGGAGTCCAAAGAGGGTCGCACAGGAACCGAAGGCAGGCCCAAGACGGCACAGGCAGCCCCCGTGAGAGCCCGCCGAGGAGTAGAGACAAGAGGTGCCACACGTTGAGGCCTGTTGCAATTCTTCCTCGTCTTGGTTAGCTTATGAGTGTTATCCCTAGTCTTGTTCAAATCCGTCTCACCGTCAGTAGTATTACAATTCGTATGTTTAGACCTGGTCGCGTTGCTGGTGTTAGTCGTATGATGTTCGTTTCCCCTACCATGACCATTGTCATCCACATGTGCATGTGTATGTGCATCAATTCCCCCAAGCAGTGCTCGCGCTTCGGGTGTCTCGCTTCTTTTCTCAGAAACTGGGACTGCACGTCGGTGTGACGACCATGTAGTCGCCGTCGCCGCCTTCGTCGCCGCCTTCGTCGCCACCCGTCGCTGTGGGCCTGCCCGTGAGTCTGGCGGTTTTGTTGTCGCTGTGGCCGGCCTGGTGCATTGCGCTGCATTGGACTGCACTGCGCTGCAATGCGTCTCACTGCTTTTCTCATCGTTTTGCAGTGCTGCGCATTGCTTTGCCTTGCGTTGCATTGCTTTGCGTTGCATGGCTTTCCGTTGCCTTGCATGGCTTCGCGTTGCCGCTTGCCGTTGATACACACTGCTTTCCATTGCTCGGCATTGCTTCGCATTGCTTTCCATTGCGTTGCATTGCTGTGAGTTGCGTTGCATTGCATTGCTTGGCAGTGCGTTGCATTGAGTTGCATTACGTTGCGCTGATTTGCATGACTGCGCATTGCTCTACATTGCATTGCACTGCGTTACATTGCTGTACCGTGCTTTTCATTGCGTTGCATTGCTGCGCATTGCTTTGCATTGCTGTGCATTGCGCTGCATTGCTGTAAATTGCGTTGCGTTGCACTGCTCCGCATTGGTTTGCTTTGCGTTGCACTGCTTTGCTTTGCGTTGCGTTGCGTTGCTTTGCATTGCTCTGCATTGAATTGCGCTGTGTTGCGATGCTTTGCACTGCTCTGCATTGCTTTGCATTGCTTTGCATTGCTTTGCATTGCTTTGCAATTCGCTGCGCTGCTTTGCTGCGCGTTGCTTTGCAAGACATCGACTGCTTCACATGAAGTGCACCACCTAGATGGCACCACATTGATTGCACCACCTAAACTGCACCGCATCTTTTGGAAAACCACAACACTGTTTAGGGCCCACGCTGGCAAACACCGGAGTACTCTCATTAGCGGTCTTAGTATCATTGTCATTGTTAGTGCTGTTGATATTCTCGCATTATCACCTATGTTCGTACTCTTCTCTGTCATCTCATTACTCGTGCTGCGCAGGCAGCCAGCAAGCTCCGTCAGTGAAGGCGCCAGGGCCGCGACAGAGGCTCCGCCAGGCACAGCGCTGCGAGCTGGGATGCCAGAGGGCCCACGCGCAGAGGGAAGAGTGACGAGGACCCTCTGCTTGTCTGGGGCGGCTCCACCTCTGTGGTGCAAGACCCTGGCTCCGACGGACGCCGCTCGCGGCAGCCGGGCCGACGGGAAGGTCACTTATTCGCGCTGCAAGAGCACGCGGGCCCGCGAGGACCGACGAGGGGGCGCCGCGGGAGAGGAAAAGGGGGAGGGAGAGGCAGTTATGGAATCGTTGGGGCGAGAGGTTGGTGGGTGGGGATCGCAGGAAGTCTGGGCCAAACAGGGCGCGCCTGAGGGTGCCTCATCTCCACCCGCCGCATGCACCAAGCAGGCACGACCCTGGACACATCTCGATGCTGGACTGGCACGTTGTTGAGACTCGCCGAAGACATCTGGATAACTCCCCAGCTCCTAAAGACTGCCATCGGGAAGGTGGCCTGAGCACAGAAAGAACCACTGCGACGAAAGGACCCCACATGATAACTGTCTTAGTGCTCATGAAACTCATCATCATTGACGAGTCACGATGGTGATGATGCCAGGATGCCAGGATACCAAGATGCGACCTGTGGGATGTTGAGACCTGTTGGGCCCGTGGGGCTTTTGAGACTTGCACGGCATGTGGGACCTGTGCTACCTGTGCGACCTGCGGGGCCTGTGCGACCTGTGGGGTCTGTGGGAAATGTGAGACCTGTGGGACCTGCGGCACCTGTGGGCGCTGTGGGATATGTGGGACCAGTGGAGCCCGTGGAACTTGGACCTGTGGGGCCTGTAGGACCTGCGAGATTTGTGGCGCCCGTGAAACTTGCGCGACCTGCCAGGTTTATTGGACCTGTGGGTTTCGTGGGACTTGCAAACCATGTAGGACGCGTGGGACATGTGGGACCTGCGGGGCCTGTGGGACCTGTAGGGCATGTGGGACCCTTGGAGCCTGTTGCACATGTGGGACCTGTGGGAACTGTGCGACTTGTGCCACCGGTGGTACTGGTGAGATTTGTGAGACATGTGGAACTTGCGGGACCTTGTGACCTGTGAGTGGGATGCGGGGGACATGTTGGGCTCGTGCGACCTGTGAGAACCGTGACCCTATGAATTATTGTTTTGCCTGTTGGACCTGTGGGACCTCTGCACCCTGTGCGCCCGTGGTCCCGGCTTGACATTTCCTCGCGAATCACTCACAGCCGAGGCTCCCGATCGAAATTTCCCCACGATCTGCCCTTTTGGAGCGCTCGTATTTCGCCAGCTACAGCAAGCCGATGACCCGCTCGGATTCGAACATGGACGCGGAGACCCGATAGGAGGAGAGCTTCCGCTCGAGACCTCCTCGCGATTTACTCACAAACCAAGGTCCCGCTCACGACTTCCTCCAGAATCAAACCTGAACAACCCAAAAGTGACGACAATTACAAAAGTTGGATGACCCGTTCGGATTCGATCACGGATGCAGAGACCCCATAGGAGGAGGGACTCCCGTTCGAGAGTTCCTTCGCGATTCACTCACAAGCGAGGCTCCCGCTCGAGACTTCCTCCAATTTCAAACCTGAGGAACCCAGAAGTGACGACGGTTACAATGATTGGATAACCACGCTCGGATTCGAAAATGGATGCGGGGACACCATAGGGAAGGGCTCTCACCGAAGACTTCCTCACGATTCACTCACGGACAAAGCTCCCGTTCGAGATCCCCTCCAGAGTCACGCCTGCAGAACCCAAAAGCGACGACGGTCACAAGGATTGGATAACCACGCCCGGATTCGAACATGGATGCGGGGACACCATAGGGAGGGAAGGGTTCCAACTGGGGACTTCCTCGTGATTTACTCACGGAAAAAGCTCCCGCTCGAGATTTCTTCAACACGATGTGTGAGTGACCGTGCGCGCGCGTGCGCGATGATGATGACGACGACGATAATGATGATGGCTTTGATGATAATCGGGATGATTGTGACGACGACGGTGATAACGATGATGGCCATGATAACGACGACGATACTGACGACGACGATGATGATGACGATGAGGATGACAATGACGAAGACGATGACGACGGTGCTCAAGATGAAACTGGTTATGGCGATGGTGATGATGGCGATAATTATGATTATGATGGCGGCGGCGATGATAGCGATGACGGTGATGACGATGATGTTGATCATGCTGATGATGTGGACACTTCCGGGTGGCCGAGGTCACGCTGCAATCTGCGTTTCGCGGTGGCGGCGGGCTAACAGCAGAGGGCGGCGATTGCGGCGTCCTCCGCCTACAGCACCACCATGGTGCAGAGCCGCTCGGCGACCCGACGCGGCACCACGGCGCGGCGGCCAACGCGCTGCAGGCGGCCGTGCGTCTGCGAAGCGGCCGCGAGCTCCGCGAGCGCCGCGGCAGCGCCGGCGCCGAGGCGGCCATCCACATCGACAGCGATGCTGCGCACCTGCTCGCCGTAGCGCGTCGCCTTGGCTGGGTCGCCACATGCAGCGGCGGCCCCGGGGCGCGGCCAGCGTCGGCCAGCAGAGGATTGAAGGGCGACCGGACGGAGACGTCCAGCCACCACTGCTCGACGAGGTCCATGTCCGCCTCCCGGATCGTGCGGTCCGGCAGCGTACGGTAAAGGTCGAGCACCCGCCGTTCCAGGTCAACGACGGCGCCTGCGGAGCGAAGTTCTTCCTCGAAACCGCGCACGGCCCCGGTGTGAGCCCGCAGCCGCGTGGCGCTCCTGGGGCACGCCAACGCGTACGCAGCGCGCCGGCGGAGCACCTCGCCGCACGCCGCAGTCTGCAGGTGGCCCTCGGGAGAGCGAACGCGGCGCCCAGCCGCCTGAGGGAGGCTGTTTGCTGCGCACCCTGCCGCTGCGCGCTCGGCGTCTGGCCTTTGTGGCGTCGCACGGGGCCTCCGCCGGCGCCCGCGCGAGTCGAGGAGGAGGAGGAGGAGGAGGAGGAGGAGGAGGAGGAGGAGCAGGAGCAGGAGGAGGAGGAGGAGGAGGAGGAGGAGGAGAAGGAGGAGGAGGAGGAGGAGGAGGCAAGCCAGAAAGCGCCACGGCCCCGGCCAGCGCGCGAGAGCGGCGCCGGCAGAGCGACGGCCCCCCGCTGGACTGGCCTGGACTGGCGGCGGCTGGGCCCCCCCCGCTCGCAGCGCTGCATGCGCCCGCGCGCGGGGCCCGGGATGAGTCGTCGATGTCGCTGGCGAAGCCGAGGTGATGATGATGATGATGATGATGATGATGATGATGATGATGATGATGATGATGGTGATGATGATGAGGATGAGGATGCGGACGAGGATGAGGATGAGGACGATGATGGTGATGATGGTGGTGATGGTGATGGTGATGATGGTTATGATAGTGATGGTGGTGGTGATGGTGATGATGGTGATGGTAGTGATGACGGTGATGATGGAGATGATGGTGATGATGATGATGACGATGATGATGATGATGATGATGATGACAAGGATGAGGATGAGGACGAGGATGAGGATGAGGACGATGATGGTGATGATGGTGATGATGGTGATGATGGTGATGGTGATGATGGTGATAGTTATGATAGTGATGGTGGTGGTGATGGTGATGATGGTGATGATAGTGATAACGGTGATGATGGAGATGATGGTGATGCTGGTGATGATGGTTATGATAGTGATGGTGGTGGTGATGGTGATGATGATGAGGATGAGGATGCGGACGAGGATGAGGATGAGGACGATGATAATGTTGGTGATGATGGTGATGGTGATGATGGTTATGATAGTGATGGTGGTGGTGATGGTGATGATGGTGATGATTGTGATGACGGTGATGATGGAGATGATGGTGATGATGGTGACGATGATGGTGATGATGATGATGACGAGGATGAAGATGAGGACGAGGATGAGGATGAGGACGATGATGGTGATGATGGTGATGATGGTGATGATGGTGATGATGGTGATGATAGCGATGACGGTGATGATGGAGATGATGGTGATGATGATGATGACGATGATGATGATGATGACAAGGATGAGGATGAGGACGAGGATGAGGATGAGGACGATGATGGTGATGATGGTGATGATGGTGATGATGGTGATGATGATGTGATGATGTTATGATAGTGATGGTGGTGGTGATGGTGCTGATGGTGATGATAGTGATAACGGTGATGATGGAGATGATGGTGATGATGGTGATGATGGTTATGATAGTGATGGTGGTGGTGATGGTGATGATGATGAGGATGAGGATGCGGACGAGGATGAGGATGAGGACGATGATAATGTTGGTGATGATGGTGATGGTGATGATGGTTATGATAGTGATGGTGGTGGTGATGGTGATGATGGTGATGATAGTGATGACGGTGATGATGGAGATGATGGTGATGATGGTGACGATGATGGTGATGATGATGATGACGAGGATGAGGATGAGGACGAGGATGAGGATGAGGACGATGATGGTGATGATGGTGATGATGGTGATGATGGTGATGATGGTGATGATAGCGATGACGGTGATGATGGAGATGATGGTGATGATGATGATGATGACGATGATGATGATGATGACAAGGATGAGGATGAGGACGAGGATGAGGATGAGGACGATGATGGTGATGATGGTGATGATGGTGATGATGGTGATGATGGTGATGATGGTGATGATAGTTATGATAGTGATGGTGGTGGTGATGGTGCTGATGGTGATGATAGTGATAACGGTGATGATGGAGATGATGGTGATGATGGTGATGATGGTTATGATAGTGATGGTGGTGGTGATGGTGATGATGATGAGGATGAGGATGCGGACGAGGATGAGGATGAGGACGATGATAATGTTGGTGATGATGGTGATGGTGATGATGGTTATGATAGTGATGGTGGTGGTGATGGTGATGATGGTGATGATAGTGATGACGGTGATGATGGAGATGATGGTGATGATGGTGATGATGATGGTGATGGTGATGGTGATGCTGGTGGTGATGATATGATGATGGTGGTGGTGATGGTGATTATGTCTATGATGATGATGGGTATAGTGGTGATGATGGTGATGATGATGAAAATTATGATGATAATGATGGTGAGGGTGATGGTAATTATGATGATGATCTTGATGATGATAATGGTGATGCTGATGACGATGGTGATGATAATGAAGATGATGGTAACGATGACGATGCTGGATGATGATGATGATGATGATGTTGACGCTGATGTTGATCATGATGATGACGACGACGATACGTTCGATGATGGCGGTGATGATGATGATGATGATGATGATGATCATGATGATGTTGTTGATGACGATGATGAGCATCATCGGCATTAGCATCATCAACATCAGCATCAGCATCATGGTGATGATGGTGATGGTGATGATGGTGATGATAGTGATGATAGTGATGATGATGGTGATGATGATTACCATGATGAAGATAACGATGATGATCATGTGGATGGTGATGGTAATGCTGGAAATGATGGTGATGGTGATGGCAATGACGATGACGACGATGATGCTGATGATGCCGACCGGTAAGCATTAAGATGATGCTGCGAGCTTTGATGATTGTTGTGATCATGATGATAATGATGGTGATGATTGTGGTGGTGGTGACGATATTGCAGGTGGTACTGATCATGGCGATGATGATAACGATGATGATGATGGTGAAGATGTTGATGGTGATGGTGATTGTGATGTGATTATGATCATGGTGGTGATGATGGTAATGATGATGATTATGACAATGATGATAAGGATGATGATGATGGTGATGATGATGTTGATGATTATGATGGCGATGCTGATGACGATGGTGATGATGGTCATGAAGATGATGATAACGATGGCGATGCTTATGCTGATGATGTTGACGTTGATGTTGGTCATGATGATAAAAACGATGCCGATAATTTTGATGATGATAGTGATGATGATGACGAAAACGATCATGATGATGTTGATGACGATGATGATCGTCATCACCATCATCATCAACAACATCAACATCAGCATCGTCATCGTGATGATGGTAATACTGGTGATGATGATGATGATGATGGTGATGATGATAATGATGATGACGGAGATAATGATTACCATGATAATTATGATAACTATGCTGGTGATGCCGATGGTGATGCTGATGATGATGGTGATGGTGATGGCAATTACCATGACGATGATGATGATGCCGAGAAGTATGAAGATGATGCTGCGATATTTGATGATGATTGTGGTGATTGTGACGATATTGCTGATGGTCATGATCATGGGGATGGTGATGATGATAATGATGGTGATGATGATGTGAACTAGAATGATGATGATGGTGATATTGATGATCATGGTGGTGCGGATGATGATGAGAACGATGGTGATGATGGTGATGATGAGGATGAGGATAAGGATGAGGATGAGGATGAGGATGATGATGAGGATGCTGATGACGATGGTGATGGTGATGATGATGGTTGTGATGATGATGATGATGATGGCAGTGGTGGTGATGGTGATGTGGATGGTGATGGTGCAATGGCGATGATTCGTGCGAAAAGAGTATGTCGATGACGATGAGATTGATGGTGATGTTGATGGTGATGGTGAGTGCGAAAGGAGGAAAGGAGGACGGGGGTGAAGTGTTCTCAGGCGCGGGAGTCCAGAGAGAACAAGAATCCCATTGAGGATGTGAGGAAATGTCCGCGCCCTGCTGTGAGACCTTCAGTACAAGAGGTGTCAGAAAAGCATTCATGTGTATCGCAGGCTTGTGGCCAAGGTTCAATAGCGAACGCGGATGCTGAACGAGTGTCAGCTCTCGGAGCTCAAAGCTGATCAAAAGACTCGCCCATCGTCTGTAGCCAAAAAGACGCGTCGTTGCTTGTGGCGCGCAGCTGGGCTGATGGGCCTCCACTTATTGCCTCTGCGGAATAAAAAAACACGCGACGGCGCGGGCCAGACCCGCGAAGACGATGACAGCGCGCTCGGCGGCAGCAGACCGCAGGCGGGAGGGGGGAAGAGAAAGAGGGAGGAAGCAGGAGTGACTGCAGTCCTTGCGCTACCAATGGGAACGCTAAATAAGAAACGAAGGGGCTTCTCTGGCCGCGGCGTGCCTTGGCACAAATAGGTTCCCCGACCTGGATCTGAGGAACGGCCCGAAAACCAGGGCCCCTCCCGAGCCCCAAGTGGTCCTAATTTCAGCGTCATGATTGTAGGGCGGGAGGTTTGAGGGGGATCGCAAAGGGCCTGCCGGGGCCAGGCCGATAACGAGCAACTGTCGGTCTGGGTGCCAGGCCAAGCGGAACGCTCCGCAAGGCGTGCGATGCACGGCCCGAAAAAACGATTACCGCACGTATGCCAGGTGGTCCACGGCCCGGGGGAAGAGCAGGGAAGGCCCTCTGCATGTCCTCCTCACTCCACCGCTGGCGCGGGGACCGGCTTCGACGAGTGCCTCCCGCGAGAGTCCAACGCTTCCCCGACGCCATCCCTCCTTACAACCCCTCCCGCGCCCTTCGATCCACAGCCTCGGGCACGCCCTCGGCCCCCCCACTTGCGGGGAGGCCACGGCGAGTTCGACGTCAAGAGTGCGGAGTGCACCTCTGGAGGAGAGGAGAATGCTGGGTGGGGGGCGTGGAGGGGCGAAGGGATCTCGGAACAGGAGAGAGAGAGAGAGAGAGATCTCTGAGACTGGCGGCCCGACCGCGCAGCGGAGAACAACAAGCTGAACTCCGCACCCCGTCTCTGCAAAGACCCCGTGTCCGGCACGAGGTGTGTCCGAGGGGGCGCTGCAGGCCAGGCTACCGCGGCCCGTGCCCGGGCCCGCCGTGCCGAGGATGCGCGGCCGGGCTGCGGGCCCGAGGCCGAGGGAGCGGGGCGACGCAGCCAAGAAGGCGCGGCGCCGGTGGCGCGCGGCTGGGCTGTCCGGGGCTCCGCTCTCACGTACCGGCAAAGACGCCACGGGGCGCGCCCGGACAGGGGCGGCCAGGCGGCTGCCCGCGCCCGCCGGGGCTCTAGCGGCTCGCGATGGCCCGGCGCCTGGCGAGGAAGGCCTCGCGCGCCCGCGCGGCCATCTCGTGGGCGTCCAGACCGCCCGCGCCGGCCGCTGGGCCACCCAGCGAGTGCCTCGCGGCGCGGCCTGCGCACCCCAGCAGCACGGGCAGCCTCCGGGCCTCGGGCTCGCGGCCCTCGCCCTCCGAGTCGGAGCTGCTCGCGGGGCTCGTCGCCAGGAGCGGGCTCGAGGGGCAGCGCGTGGAGGGCGTCCCCCCGGGGCAGCTCCCGTCGGAGTGCCTGCCCCCAGCGGAGACGAGCACAGCGCCGAGCCGCTCGGCTCCGCGGCGCTGCAAGAGCGAGCTGCACGCCGCCCCCGAGGTCTGACTCGAGGTCCCCGCCGTGGCGGCCATCTGGCAGACGGCTCGAGGCTGGCGATCGGGGCGCTGTGTGCCGAGGCCAAGGGGCACGGGGGGAGGCGCCCTCGGATTCGCAGAGCTGGAGCCAGAGTGTGTTCTTGAGCCAGAGCGGCTGCGGATCACAGGTTGCGGCCTTCGGGGCGGCGACCGAAGCATCGCGACACAGATCGTGCCTCACTGCGCCACGGCACTTAGCGCAGTAGGCGGGCGCCATGCCCATGATGGCGACTTCCCAATCACTGATCCCTGCGAGACAATGGAGAGGGCCCCAGGAGATATTCAGAACCAGCCAGTACCAGGTCTCAGCTCTATCCTGCTTGGCAAGGCATCGCCTCACTCCCCAGGGCCCTACGGTCCCACTCTGTCTCGAAGCGGCCTGAAGATGACGCACGACCGGCCTAAGACGACCGCACAGACTCCCCGAGACAGCTTCGAGACCACCGAAAGGTCGCCCACAAGGGCCCCAGGACCAAAGGGCCGCCGAGGCACCCTCTGAGAGGCCGCTGGCGAGCAGAAAACTGCTTGGCACCTTGCCCTGGCTCCGTGCGTGCCCGCTCGCACCTGGCGCAGCTGGGGCAGCTGGGGTTCGCTCCGTGCGCACCTGCTCGCACCTCAGGAGATAGTTTTACTTCTCGGCGATAACCCAAATTACCCGCGGGGCATCGCCGGACCATCAACAAAAACACAGGTTGTTGCTTCGAGTGATCCCCACCGAAACCTTCGGCGTTTGTTCCCAACGGTGCGCGCGTCGACTGGAACGATGTGCGCGGGGCCCGGCGGTCTCGGCCAGCGCGGCGGCGGGGCCAGGTCACAAGTGGATGTATTCCGAAAGTCTAAGAAACCCAGGGCCCGTGACGAAAGAAACCGAAACAAGTCCCTGGAACGACAAACCAGCCCCTGAGACGCGTCTTGCGAGATCCAAAAACTTGTTCGGAGAAAATATGCAGCCTGTTGAACGAGGAAGAGGAGGAGCAGCAGCAGCAGCAGTAGCAGCAGCACCACGAGGAGAAGGCGGACGACGAAGGAGCGGGAGGAAGAGGTGAGGCGGACCTCTTCTTCCTCCTCTTGCTCCGGACACCCCGTCCTCCTCTGACGACGGGGCGCATGTCGCGTTTCATGAGACGCCGTGAAGTGGTGGCTGGCACATACGTAAGATTGTGCTATAATGTGTTCGATTCGACTCTGCCCGAGTGCAGTGTATGACCTTGTGTTCTGTTATGGTATGTTATGGACGGGCTGGCGTGACGTCGTGACGCCTTTCACGTTTGGTATGTCTTCTAATCGAACGTTGCTGCTTGTGTTTGTTTATATGGCCAGCCTGGGCTTGGCGCGCACGTAGCGTAGGGTAGGCCGCCAGTACTCGGTCTCTGCTGAATTCTACTCTATCACGCTGTGTGTCGGTTGTGTTTGTTCTGTTCTATGCACATATGACTGTTTATGCTCTGCTCTCGGCGGGGCGGCGCGACGTCGTGACCCCTGTCGCGTTTGATAGTCGTCTAGTCGGTCGTTGCCGCGGCTGTTTCTTCCTGTGGCCAGGCACGGACGCTGCGCTTGACAGCGCGCCATCAATATGTCGCTGCTGTATTTAACAGTGTTTAAATATGTCTTGCTCGATCATGTTCTATTCTGCTATACTACAATATGATATGTTATGGTATCGACGGGGCGGCGTGACGCCGTGACGCCTGTCACGTTAGATACGTCGTCCGATCGGTCGTTGCTGCGCCTGTTTCCACCTGTGGCCAGGCTGACCTCGGCGCGCACGTCGCGCTTCATTATGGTATAGTACGGCCGATTGTACATGTTATGAAGTGTCTCGTCAAGTGTTTGTGTCTCGTCAAGTGTTTGTGTCTCTTCTGCTATGAAGTATGTTATGGTATGCTCACCGCCGTGATTGTATGTTGTGTTAGTATATGGTCTGCACTGCTCTGTGGCACTACTTTATAACATGTTACGTCTGGTCTGTCAGAATAGGTTAGGATATGCTCTGATGTGTAATGTTTGTTTCAAAGTATACTCAGTCCGTGGTAGGAAATTACCGAAAAGTGTAGCCAATCATGGTGTTTCTAAATCGTTGGCGCAAGGGTTGCGACAAGTATGCTATGGTATATGCTGGTTACGGTGTGCTCTATGTTTGCATTATGCTAACTTGTCTATGTGTTACTATTTTGTGCTATAGTACGCCTGTTATGTTCTCAAAGAGCTGGCATGACGCCGTGACGCTTGTCACGATAGATAAGTCGTCCGATCGTTCGTTGCTGCGCCTGTTTGCCCCTGTAGCCAGCCGGATCTCAGCGCGCACTTCGCGGTCGATTGTATTGTAATGCGCTCTAGTATGGTGTGGTGGGGTGCTTTGTCAAGTTATGGAATGCTGCGCTTCTGTGTTATGGTACGACATGGCATGTCATTGTGTGAAACGTGATGCTCTAATACATTACGCTATGTTATGTTGTGTCTTGCCATTTGTTGTTATGGTGTAAGGTGTTATGTTACGTTCTGTCTGTTCCATGATGTCATTGCACGTGTTGTTACGATGTGTCCCGTTGTATCCTGGAATCCTGTTCTGGCATGATATGGCATGTTATGCGTTGTTCTGCTTGGGTGTTATCGGAAATTGACGGGTGAGTCCGACGTGAAACGAAGACCCCCCTTACCGGGGAATCGATTTCGGTTTCGGGTTCGTGTCGTGCGTGCCGTGCGCGAGTGCGGGCGAGGCGAAGCTGCGTGGGCGGGCGAAAAGAAATCCTCCTGTGGCTGGGCTGCGGCTGCCTCTGGCGGCCCGTGGCCCGCGGTGTCCCGCAGGTGTCCTGCTGGTGTCCCGAAATCCTCCTGTGGCTGGGCCGCGACCGGACCAAATGTTTCTCCTCCGGCGGCCGGTGGCCCGCGGTGTCCCGCTGGTGTCCTGCTGGTGTCCCGAAATCCTCCTGTGGCTGGGCCGCGGCTGGCCCAAATGATTCTCCTCAGGCGGCCGGTGGCGCGCGTTGTCCCGCCGGTGTCCCGCTGGTGTCCCGAAATCCTCCTGTGGCTGGGCCGCGGCCAGACCAAATGATTCTCCTCAGGCGGCCGGTGGCGCGCGTTGTCCCGCCGGTGTCCCGCTGATGTCCCGAAATCCTCCTGTGGCTGGGCCGCGGCCGGCCCAAATGATTCTCCTCCCGTCAAACGGTGGCCCGCAGTGTCCGGCTGGTGTCCCGCCGGTGTCCCGCCGTGGGTTGTGCAGGTCAAAACATCACCGCAGCACGCACGTTCGACCACGTCGACTAACGCTGAGGTGAGGTTCGCGCAATTGATAAGCGCACGCGGGGACAGCGCTTCACGACAATGTCGAGTGCGCTTCGCCAGCATCGCCACATCACATCACGCTCACGTGCACAATGACACTACTCACTAGACTCCGCCCCACAGGCATCGTCAGAACAACAATCACCACTTTTGCCCATTGCTGCCGCCCCCCAGCCTCCTTATCACCCGCAGGTTGGTCGTATAGGTAATGTATTAAGGTATGCGATGCTGTAATGTGTTATGCCGCGTTCTGTCATGGTGTAATTCGTCATAAGATGTAATGTTGTTTGCTTTGATGCTGTGATACGGTGCGACATGGTATGCCATGATATGCTATGTCATGAGATGTGATGGCATGGTATATAACGTTTTGATATGCCGTCATACGGAACGAGGTGTGGTGGTGTGCCCTGTTGAGTATTATCCAGGATGTCATAGCGTCTGATGTTCTGCGATTATGTATCATGTTATGACACGCCCTGTAATGTTGTGATGTGTCATCTGTGCTGCGATGCTATATGGCTTGTGATGTGTGCTGTGATGCTGTGGTATGCTTTGGTGTGGTCGCTCATGGTATGGTATGGTATGATATGATGTCAATTTATAGTATGAGATGTTACGTTGTGTCATGTTATGTGTATTCCGATATGGCATGACATGCGTTGATATACTGTGTTGTGCTATGATATGATGTCATGATTTGTGAGGCTGTGACATGCTTTGTGTTGGCATGTTCAGCTCTGCGGTGCGTTATTATGGCATGGCTGCTGTATCATAATATATAATGGTATGTGTTAAGATGCGTGTGCATGCACAATTCTGTCATGGTGTGCTATGTCACGATATGCTCGGTCATGGTAGAATATATCAAATTCGGATATCTCACGGTAGGTGGTGTGGTGTTCTGCTCTGTTCTGTCACAGCTTACCGTGTTGTGCTGTACTATGCTCTGATGTTCTGCCATATTATGATTTGTCGGCGCGAGGCGAGACACCCGGGAACACTCGGGGGACTTGGGGGTCTGGCGGCCGCGGTATGCAGAGTGGCGCGAGGCGGGACACTCGGGGACTCTTGGGAGACCTAGGGATCTGGCGGCGGCGGTATGCAGAGGGGCATGAGGCGGGACTCTCGAGAACACTCGGGGAACCCGGGGATCTGACGGCCACGGTATGCAGGGTGGACGGGTCAGGAGGTCTATTTTTAAAATCTAACGACCCCGACCTGTCGGATGGGGAACAAACTCCAGACGAAGGGGGAACGAAGGTAGTGGAAGACATGACGAGGACCTTTACTTCGCGACATTGCTCGCGCCGTCGACGACGAGCTCGGAGAACTCCGAGGCTGAGCTGGGCTGCGAGCGATGACGACGGCGGCGCCCGAAAGCGCCAGGTCCGGGGGGGGGCCCCCGCGCCCAGGGGCCCCACGGAGCTCAGACGCGCAGAGGCAGGACGAGGCCCTTGTCCTTCCCCGCGCCGCCCGCCGCCCCCCGCGCGGCGCGCCACCCGGACAGAGCGATGCGCAGCACCGCCAGGGCCGCCGCCGCCTGCGCCACGGAGCGCGCGGCGCCGCTCCAGGCGCCGCGGGCGCGCCTCGGGGCCTCCAGCACCGGCAGCACCTCCTCCTCGCTCCAGGAAGTGGTGGCCGCCCCCAGCTCCCCCCGCTCCCAGTCGCCCGGCGAGGCCTCGACGTGCTGCCTGCGCTCCTCCTCGGACGCCGTGGCCCTCCCAGAGGACCAGCGACCCGGAGCGAAGGCCGACGCATCCTCGGCCACGTGCGGGTACGGGCAATCGGCGGGGAAGGCGTTGTGGAGGAACTCGGCGAAGAGCCGGCCGTGCAGGGGCACCTCCCCGCCGTTGCGGCCCGCGATGTCGCGCAGCCTCGCCTCGGCGGCGTCGGGGGGCAGGCGCATGTCTGGGGACGCGGTGAGGTTGCGGACCTCCGACATGATGCGGCCCGGGGTGGCCGCGGGGGCCTGGATCTTGCCCTCCAGCTCGTTCAGCAGGCCCTCGCAGTCGCTCAGGCAGCACACCGAGTAGTACGTCGACTTGGCGATGCAGTTGGAGGGCCCCACCATGTAGTTGGCGATGCGCACGCTGCTCGTGGCCTCGTCCAGCGCGCCGATCTGCCGGAGGTAGTCGACGGACTCGTGGAACTGGTAGTCCGCCGTCTCTGGCTGCGAGTAGAAGGCCCGGAGTGGCACGCGCCCCGAGCCGTCCGGGTCCAGCTCCTCCAGTTCCTGCCGCATCTGGCGGCACTCGGTGTTCTGCCACTTGCCATAGTCCTGCGCCAGGCTCTCCACCACCCGAGAGGCCTCGCCGAACGAGTACCGGCGCGCCACGAACGGGTTGGTCCGGTGGTAGCTCTCGAAGTCGTAGTTGTGTACCGCCGCCTGCTCGAACTCGACGAGAAGCGGCCAGCTGCCTCCGGCGCTGGCCACGGCGTCCTTCATGGCGCGGTGCCTCGGGACGTCTGTGACGTTCACCCGGACACGATCTCGAAGATCATCAGGTAGGACGACAGCACCTCGTGCAGCTCGCTGGCCCCCAGCCGCTCCGCGGCGGACTGCCCGTTGAGCGCGTAGGCCACCTGCAGCAGGGAGAGGGACTCGTCGAAGATGAGGCGCTCCAGGGCCGCCGCCATGGCCACCACGTCGCCGAGGGACAGCCCCCGGCCAGCGCGGCGGGACTCGAGCAGGGCCTCCACGAACGCCGGGGCCTTGTCCTGCAGGATGTCCACCTCGTGCACCTCGGAGACGTTCGCGCTCATGCCGTGGGGCTCCAGCCCGTTGATGATCCAGCCGTGCTCCTTCGCGAAGTAGCTGTGCACGATGTGGCGCACCGCTCGCGGCGCCAGGCGCCCCATCTCGTTCTTGGGCAGCGCCTGGAACGTTTGCCACATGGCAGGACTCGATCCGAGACAGCCGACGTGCCGCGTCGCCGCTGCTGCCCTGCAGGACTGCCTCCAAGGAGGCCCCCAAGCTCGACTCCACGTCCTTCGCCGAGACCGTGCGGCCCGAGGCGGGGCCGCCGCTGGAGCCGCGGAAGCTGCCCGGAGAGCCGTGGCAGAGCTGGGCTCCACAGATGAAAGCGAGCATGACAGCGCCACACTGCGCCATTGTCGGGTTTCTTTGTTGAGAATCTAAGGGGTCGCGCACAGAAAAGGATTAGGTCGTTGGTGCACGCTTGAGCCTGGAGACGGCGGCGGCCACATGCGGGCGGTGGCATAGATGGCAGCGGCAAAATCGGCACTGCGCATGGTGCTGGAGACTGTGACGGTAGGCTCTGCTCTCGTGAATCCCAGTCGCTGAACGATTGAAACGTTATGATGTGTGGTGTATGCTCCGTATGCTCCGTGATGTCATTGCATGCGTTGTCATGATGTGTCCTGGTATGTCCTGCTCTGACATGATATGAAATGTTGTGCGGTGGTATGTGTTGGTGCTATCCTACACACATGATATACTGTGTTATGCCGCGCTCTGTCATGGTATGATGTGTCATGGAATGTAATGTTACGTGGCATGTGCTCTGATGCTCTGCTACGGTGCGGTGTGTTATGTCATGGTATGCCATGTTGTGAAATGGTCTGGCATGGTGTGGATTGTTGTTATGATATGCTATGCAGCGTAATGGTATGAGATGTTCTGCATGATCCATGATGTCATAGCGTATAATGGTATGCGATGGTGCGCTGAGCTATGATGTAACATGTGAAGCCGCTATATGGAATGCTATGATGTGTCATCTGTGCTGCGATGCGATATGTCATGATATCTCGACTGCGATGATGTGTTATGGTATGGTGTGTTATGTCATGATGTGGCATGGCTTATATGTTATACCATGATATGAGACAGTATGATATGGGTTGGTATGTTGTGCATGCTCCCATCATGCATAGCGTGCGTTGTTATGATTTGTTGTGCTATGATATGTGGCATCATGTTATGTGAGGCTGTGGCATGGTATGTTTGAGTGTGCTCAGCTATGCGCTGATGACTTATGGCATGATTGCTTTATGTTATGAACTGTTATGTGCTATGATGCTGTGCCATGGTATGCACTGCTCTGTCATGGTGTGTTATGTTACGATATGGTATGTCATGGTATGGTACGGTATGCTCGGCTATAGTCTGCTAGGTGCTGTGGTGTTGTGATATGGTCTGTCTTAGCGTATAGTGTTGGTACTGTGTTCTGCTATTATATAATACCGCTCTGTCCTGTAATGATTTGTCGGCGTGAGGCGGGACACTCGGGGACACTTGGGGGACTTGGGGATCTTGCGGCCGCAATATGCAGAGTGGCGCGAGGCGGGACACCCGGAAACACTCGGGGGACTTGGGGGTCTGGCGGCCGCGGTATGCAGAGTGGCGCTAGGCGGGACACTCGGGGACTCTTGGGAGACCTAGGGATCTGGCGGCGGCAGTATGCAGAGTGGCGCGAGGCGGGACTCTCGAGAACACTCGGGAAACCCGGGGATCTGGCGGCCGCGGTATGCAGGGTGGACGGGTCAGGAGGTCTATTTTTAAAATCTAACGACCCCAACCTGTCGGATGGGGAACAATCTCCAGACGAAGGGGGAACGAAGGTATGTAGTGGAAGACATGACGAGGACCTTTACTTCGCGACATTGCTCGCGCCCTCGACGACGAGCTCGGAGAACGCCGAGGCTGAGCTGGGCTGCGAGCGATGACGACGTCGGCGCCCGAAAGCGCCAGGTCCCGGGGGGCCCCCCGCGCCCAGGGGCCCCACGGAGCTCAGACGCGCAGAGGCAGGACGAGGCCCTTGTCCTTCCCCGCGCCGCCCGCCGCCCCCCGCGCGGCGCGCCACCCGGACAGAGCGATGCGCAGCACCGCCAGGGCCGCCGCCGCCTGCGCCACGGAGCGCGCGGCGCCGCTCCAGGCGCCGCGGGCGCGCCTCGGGGCCTCCAGCACTGGCAGCACCTCCTCCTCGCTCCAGGAAGTGGTGGCCGCCCCCAGCTCCCCCCGCTCCCAGTCGCCCGGCGCGGCCTCGACGTGCTGCCTGCGCTCCTCCTCGGACGCCGTGGCCCTCCCAGAGGACCAGCGACCCGGAGCGAAGGCCGACGCGTCCTCGGCCACGTGCGGGTACGGGCAATCGGCGGGGAAGGCGTTGTGGAGGAACTCGGCGAAGAGCCGGCCGTGCAGGGGCACCTCCCCGCCGTTGCGGCCCGCGATGTCGCGCAGCCTCGCCTCGGCGGCGTCGGGGGGCAGGCGCATGTCTGGGGACGCGGTGAGGTTGCGGACCTCCGACATGATGCGGCCCGGGGTGGCCGCGGGGGCCTGGATCTTGCCCTCCAGCTCGTTCAGCAGGCCCTCGCAGTCGCTCAGGCAGCACACCGAGTAGTACGTCGACTTGGCGATGCAGTTGGAGGGCCCCACCATGTAGTTGGCGATGCGCACGCTGCTCGTGGCCTCGTCCAGCGCGCCGATCTGCCGGAGGTAGTCGACGGACTCGTGGAACTGGTAGTCCGCCGTCTCTGGCTGCGAGTAGAAGGCCCGGAGTGGCACGCGCCCCGAGCCGTCCGGGTCCAGCTCCTCCAGTTCCTGCCGCATCTGGCGGCACTCGGTGTTCTGCCACTTGCCATAGTCCTGCGCCAGGCTCTCCACCACCCGAGAGGCCTCGCCGAACGAGTACCGGCGCGCCACGAACGGGTTGGTCCGGTGGTAGCTCTCGAAGTCGTAGTTGTGTACCGCCGCCTGCTCGAACTCGACGAGAAGCGGCCAGCTGCCTCCGGCGCTGGCCACGGCGTCCTTCATGGCGCGGTGCCTCGGGACGTCTGTGACGTTCACCCGGACACCGATCTCGAAGATCATCAGGTAGGACGACAGCACCTCGTGCAGCTCGCTGGCCCCCAGCCGCTCCGCGGCGGACTGCCCGTTGAGCGCGTAAGCCACCTGCAGCAGGGAGAGGGACTCGTCGAAGATGAGGCGCTCCAGGGCCGCCGCCATGGCCACCACGTCGCCGAGGGACAGCCCCCGGCCAGCGCGGCGGGACTCGAGCAGGGCCTCCACGAACGCCGGGGCCTTGTCCTGCAGGATGTCCACCTCGTGCACCTCGGAGACGTTCGCGCTCATGCCGTGGGGCTCCAGCCCGTTGATGATCCAGCCGTGCTCCTTCGCGAAGTAGCTGTGCACGATGTGGCGCACCGCTCGCGGCGCCAGGCGCCCCATCTCGTTCTTGGGCAGCGCCTGGAACGTTTGCCACATGGCAGACTCGATCCGAGACAGCCGACGTGCCGCGTCGCCGCTGCTGCCCTGCAGGACTGCCTCCAAGGAGGCCCCCAAGCTCGACTCCACGTCCTTCGCCGAGACCGTGCGGCCCGAGGCGGGGCCGCCGCTGGAGCCGCGGAAGCTGCCCGGAGAGCCGTGGCAGAGCTGGGCTCCACAGATGAAAGCGAGCATGACAGCGCCACACTGCGCCATTGTCGGGTTTCTTTGTTGAGAATCTAAGGGGTCGCGCACAGAAAAGGATTAGGTCGTTGGTGCACGCTTGAGCCTCGAGACGGCGGCGGCCACATGCGGGCGGTGGCATAGATGGCAGCGGCAAAGACGACGCTGCGCATGGTGCTGGAGACTGTGACGGTAGGCTCTGCTCTCGTGAATCCCAGTCGCTGAACGATTGAATCGGTTGTGAAATCGAGCCTCGATCAGAACAGGGGGGAGGACGTCCACGAGGATGCGCCGTCCAACTACCACTCCGAGGGGCACGGGTGCGTGTGAGACCCACGCGCAAATGTCTGCGGGCACTAAGCGAAAGCGCTTCAGCCGCTGCTGCCTCTAACGTCTGAAGCGCATCTTCGGATAGTCTGATGCCATGCCGCACTGCCCCACCATGCTCGCAGCGCAGCAGATAGCTTTACGCCAGGCCCCTCGTAGCTATTTACCACGGACTACAGTCAACCCGTATAAGAAGGATGCGCGGTAAGGATGCAAGGGCCTTGGAGTGCCACGTGAACATTTTTCGAACGAGGTTGGCCAGCCAAAGCGGCCAAGGATAGACCGAGGAGGCAAGGATATAAGGGTACCCTTGGGAAGGTTGCCAATCCTCACTATGCGGGTTGACTGTACTCTCTGTATTGCAATGTGAAGACCCCCAAGGGAAAGGCAGTGCCAGTACCAAGTCTCAGCTCTCTTGTACGTCGCAAGGCATCGCCCCCCTCCCTGGGACTCCCAGGACTCCAGGGAAGCGCCTCTGAGTATCACGATGGACCAAAACTGTCCCAAGACGGCCCGAAAACGGCCCACGACCAGCCTAAGACGGCCGCACAGACTGCTCGAGGCGGTTTCCAAACTCCCGAAGCAAGAAAGCACGCCCACAAGGACCCGCCGAGGCTCCCACAGAGCCTCCAGGAGCCAGCTGACATGCCAAAAAGATCGAACACACACACAATGATTGCACAAGCATGAACAAGTATCCAAAAATCACCCAGTGCTTCCTCGGGAGCGTTGTGCGTGGGAGTGGAGGCGAGGAGGCGACGGTGGCGACGGCACTGGCAGCAGGAACGAAGACGACGACGGCGACGCCGACCCTTCATTCGCGGCACTGGTCGGGCCCGTTGCTCGGAGAACGCTGAGCGGGGCTGCGAGCGATGACGACGACGGCACCCACTGGCCGCAGATCCAGGGGGCCCCCCCCCGCGCCCAGGGGCCCCACGGAGCTCAGACGCGCAGAGGCAGGACGAGGCCCTTGTCCTTCCCCGCGCCGCCCGCCGCCCCCCGCGCGGCGCGCCACCCGGACAGAGCGATGCGCAGCACCGCCAGGGCCGCCGCCGCCTGCGCCACGGAGCGCGCGGCGCCGCTCCAGGCGCCGCGGGCGCGCCTCGGGGCCTCCAGCACCGGCAGCACCTCCTCCTCGCTCCAGGAAGTGGCGGCCGCCCCCAGCTCCCCCCGCTCCCAGTCGCCCGGCGCGGCCTCGACGTGCTGCCTGCGCTCCTCCTCGGACGCCGTGGCCCTCCCAGAGGACCAGCGACCCGGAGCGAAGGCCGACGCGTCCTCGGCCACGTGCGGGTACGGGCAATCGGCGGGGAAGGCGCTGTGGAGGAACTCGGCGAAGAGCCGGCCGTGCAGGGGCACCTCCCCGCCGTTGCGGCCCGCGATGTCGCGCAGCCTCGCCTCGGCGGCGTCGGGGGGCAGGCGCATGTCTGGGGACGCGGTGAGGTTGCGGACCTCCGACATGATGCGGCCCGGGGTGGCCGCGGGGGCCTGGATCTTGCCCTCCAGCTCGTTCAGCAGGCCCTCGCAGTCGCTCAGGCAGCACACCGAGTAGTACGTCGACTTGGCGATGCAGTTGGAGGGCCCCACCATGTAGTTGGCGATGCGCACGCTGCTCGTGGCCTCGTCCAGCGCGCCGATCTGCCGGAGGTAGTCGACGGACTCGTGGAACTGGTAGTCCGCCGTCTCTGGCTGCGAGTAGAAGGCCCGGAGTGGCACGCGCCCCGAGCCGTCCGGGTCCAGCTCCTCCAGTTCCTGCCGCATCTGGCGGCACTCGGTGTTCTGCCACTTGCCATAGTCCTGCGCCAGGCTCTCCACCACCCGAGAGGCCTCGCCGAACGAGTACCGGCGCGCCACGAACGGGTTGGTCCGGTGGTAGCTCTCGAAGTCAGTCAGTGTGTACCGCCGCCTGCTCGAACTCGACGAGAAGCGGCCAGCTGCCTCCGGCGCTGGCCACGGCGTCCTTTCATGGCGCGGTGCCTCGGGACGTCTGTGACGTTCACCCGGACGCCGATCTCGAAGATCATCAGGTAGGACGACAGCACCTCGTGCAGCCGCCTGGCCCCCAGCCGCTCCGCGGCGGACTGCCCGTTGAGCGCGTAGGCCACCTGCAGCAGGGAGAGGGACTCGTCGAAGATGAGGCGCTCCAGGGCCGCCGCCATGGCCACCACGTCGCCGAGGGACAGCCCCCGGCCAGCGCGGCGGGACTCGAGCAGGGCCTCCACGAACGCCGGGGCCTTGTCCTGCAGGATGTCCACCTCGTGCACCTCGGAGACGTTCGCGCTCATGCCGTGGGGCTCCAGCCCGTTGATGATCCAGCCGTGCTCCTTCGCGAAGTAGCTGTGCACGATGTGGCGCACCGCTCGCGGCGCCAGGCGCCCAATCTCGTTCTTGGGCAACCCGCCTGGAACGTTTGCCACATGGCAGACTCGATCCGAGACAGCCGACGTGCCGCGTCGCGCTGCTGCCCTGCAGGACTGCCTCCAAGGAGGCCCCCAAGCTCGACTCCACGTCCTTCGCCGAGACCGTGCGGCCCGAGGCGGGGCCGCCGCTGGAGCCGCGGAAGCTGCCCGGAGAGCCGTGGCAGAGCTGGGCTCCACAGATGAAAGCGAGCATGACAGCGCCACACTGCGCCATTGTCGGGTTTCTTTGTTGAGAATCTAAGGGGTCGCGCACAGGAAAGGATTAGGTCGTTGGTGCACGCTTGAGCCTCGAGACGGCGGCGGCCACATGCGGGCGGTGGCATAGATGGCAGCGGCAAAGACGACGCTGCGCATGGTGCTGGAGGCTGTGACGGTAGGCTCTGCTCTCGTGAATCCCAGTCGCTGAACGATTGAATCGGTTGTGAAATCGAGCCTCGATAAGAAGAGGGGGGAGGACGTCCACGAGGATGCGCCGTCCAACTACCACTCCGAGGGGCACGGGTGCGTGTGAGACCCACGCGCAAATGTCTGCGGGCACTAGGCGAAAGCGCTTCAGCCGCTGCTGCCTCTAACGTCTGAAGCACATCTTCGGATAGTCTGATGCCATGCCGCACTGCCCCACCATGCTCGCAGCGCAGCAGATACCTTTACGCCAGGCCCCTCGTAGCCATTTACCACTGACTACAGTCAACCCGTATAGGAAGGATGCGCGGTAAGGATGCAAGGGCCTTGGAGTGCCACGTGAACGTTTTTTCGAACGAGGTTGGCCAGCCAAAGTGGCCAAGGATAGACCGAGGAGGCAAGGATATAAGGGTACCATTGGGAAGGTTGCCAATCCTTACTATGCGGGTTGACTCTACTCTCTGTATTGCAATGTGAAGACCCCCAAGGGAAAGGCAGTGCCAGTACCAAGTCTCAGCTCTCTTGTACGTCGCAAGGCATCGCCCCCCTCCCTGGGACTCCCAGGACTCCAGGGAAGCGCCTCTGAGTATCACGATGGACCAAAACTGTCCCAAGACGGCCCGAAAACGGCCCACGACCAGCCTAAGACGGCCGCACAGACTGCTCGAGGCGGTTTCCAAACTCCCGAAGCAAGAAAGCACGCCCACAAGGACCCGCCGAGGCTCCCACAGAGCCTCCAGGAGCCAGCTGACATGCCAAAAAGATCGAACACACCACAAATGATTGCACAAGCATGAAAAAAGGTATCCAAAAATCACCCAGTGCTTCCTCGGGAGCGTTGTGCGTGGGAGTGGAGGCGAGGAGGCGACGGTGGCGACGGCACTGGCAGCAGGAACGAAGACGACGACGGCGACGCCGACCCTTCATTCGCGGCACTGGTCGGGCCCGTTGCTCGGAGAACGCTGAGCGGGGCTGCGAGCGATGACGACGACGGCACCCACTGGCCGCAGACTTGGGGGGGGCCCCCCGCGCCCAGGGGCCCCACGGAGCTCAGACGCGCAGAGGCAGGACGAGGCCCTTGTCCTTCCCCGCGCCGCCCGCCGCCCCCCGCGCGGCGCGCCACCCGGACAGGGCGATGCGCAGCACCGCCAGGGCCGCCGCCGCCTGCGCCACGGAGCGCACGGCGCCGCTCCAGGCGCCGCGGGCGCGCCTCGGGGCCTCCAGCACCGGCAGCACCTCCTCCTCGCTCCAGGAAGTGGTGGCCGCCCCCAGCTCCCCCCGCTCCCAGTCGCCCGGCGCGGCCTCGACGTGCTGCCTGCGCTCCTCCTCGGACGCCGCGGCCCTCCCAGAGGACCAGCGACCCGGAGCGAAGGCCGACGCGTCCTCGGCCACGTGCGGGTACGGGCAATCGGCGGGGAAGGCGTTGTGGAGGAACTCGGCGAAGAGCCGGCCGTGCAGGGGCACCTCCCCGCCGTTGCGGCCCGCGATGTCGCGCAGCCTCGCCTCGGCGGCGTCGGGGGGCAGGCGCATGTCTGGGGACGCGGTGAGGTTTGCTGACCTCAGACATGATGCGGCCCGGCGGTGTCCGCCCGCGGGGCTGGATCTGCCCTCCAGCTGCTCAGCAGGCCCTCGCAGTCGCTCAGGCAGCACACGAGTAAGTACGTCGACTTGGCGATGCAGTTGGAGGGCCCCACCATGTAGTTGGCGATGCGCACGCTGCTCGTGGCCTCATCCAGCGCGCCGATCTGCCGGAGGTAGTCGACGGACTCGTGGAACTGGTAGTCCGCCGTCTATGGCGCGAGAGTAGAAGGCCGGAGTGGCACGCGCCCCCGAGCCGTCCGGGTCCAGCTCCTCCAGTTCCTGCCGCATCTGGCGGCACTCGGTGTTCTGCCACTTGCCATAGTCCTGCGCCAGGCTCTCCACCACCCGAGAGGCCTCGCCGAACGAGTACCGGCGCGCCACGAATGGGTTGGTCCGGTGGTAGCTCTCGAAGTCGTAGTTGTGTACCGCCGCCTGCTCGAACTCGACGAGAAGCGGCCAGCTGCCTCCGGCGCTGGCCACGGCGTCCTTCATGGCGCGGTGCCTCGGGACGTCTGTGACGTTCGTCCGGACGCCGATCTCGAAGATCATCAGGTAGGACGACAGCACCTCGTGCAGCTCGCTGGCCCCCAGCCGCTCCGCGGCGGACTGCCCGTTGAGCGCGTAGGCCACCTGCAGCAGGGAGAGGGACTCGTCGAAGATGAGGCGCTCCAGGGCCGCCGCCATGGCCACCACGTCGCCGAGGGACAGCCCCCGGCCAGCGCGGCGGGACTCGAGCAGGGCCTCCACAAACGCCGGGGCCTTGTCCTGCAGGATGTCCACCTCGTGCACCTCGGAGACGTTCGCGCTCATGCCGTGGGGCTCCAGCCCGTTGATGATCCAGCCGTGCTCCTTCGCGAAGTAGCTGTGCACGATGTGGCGCACCGCTCGCGGCGCCAGGCGCCCCATCTCGTTCTTGGGCAGCGCCTGGAACGTTTGCCACATGGCAGACTCGATCCGAGACAGCCGACGTGCCGCGTCGCCGCTGCTGCCCTGCAGGACTGCCTCCAAGGAGGCCCCCAAGCTCGACTCCACGTCCTTCGCCGAGACCGTGCGGCCCGAGGCGGGGCCGCCGCTGGAGCCGCGGAAGCTGCCCGGAGAGCCGTGGCAGAGCTGGGCTCCACAGATGAAAGCGAGCATGACAGCGCCACACTGCGCCATTGTCGGGTTTCTTTGTTGAGAATCTAAGGGGTCGCGCACAGAAAAGGATTAGGTCGTTGGTGCACGCTTGAGCCTCGAGACGGCGGCGGCCACATGCGGGCGGCGGCAGGGACGACGGCGGCGCAGGCGGCGCTGCGCATTGTGCTGAGGACCGCGGGCGCCCCGGCGAGTGCGCTCGCCCAATAGAAAGCGGGTGGGCTCGCCACACCCGGCCACGCCTCAGGGGAGGGTCGCAAGGCCGGCGCCCTTGGGGAGAGGCGGGGGGCGCCCTGAGCTGAACCCCCGAGACCGACTTGGGGGATTCAGGAGATGCCGATACCGCCACTCCCTGGACCGCTCCCGCGGGGTGCGCTCTGACCAGATTTCGAGAGGCGAGTCCAGCCGTGGCGACCGGGGCCCCCGTGGACGAGCAGCGGCGTCAGCGCCCCTTTCCCCCTCTGATGGGGGTGTGGGGCCTCGGGTGGACACCCGAGAACGTCTGATGGCTTCACGACGAGGGCGCCCCAAAAAGCTCCTGGCCCTCCCCCTCCCCCCCCCAGAACGCCTCCACGTCGCGGGCCGCATACCTGTGCATTCAGCTACACGCAGGGGCGACCCTGAGCAAGAGTGACCTTCCCGGGGGCCGCTGGGAGTCAAAGCCGCCTCGCGTTCGGCGATCGGGGGGCCCCGGTGGGCCCGCACCAGAGGCCACCCTGGCGAAGGGTCACTCTTACGCGTAGCCGATGCACGGCCATCTCGGGCACGGAAAGGCCTTAGGAGGCAACTACTGGGAGGTCTTCCTCGGAAAGATGAAGGAGTAAGCCCCATTGGAGAGCTCTTACGCCAGTGGGCCTCGGATTTTGCGGGATTAAGCCGGATTAAATGGGATTCAGCGGGATCAAGCCGGATTCAGCCGGACTTCGGACCACGGCAGAATCAGAAGTTGACCTCCCAAGAGTTGTACCCGAAAAGACCCCCCGTGCGCCAAGACGCGCGAACAAGCGCCCGCCCAGGCTTTGCTCGCGGCGCCCGGCGGTTTGGGCCGGGCCCTCCAGCGTCGCCCGGGCTCCTGCCACGGGAGCCGTCCCCCGAGCAGCTGCTCTCGAGCTGCGCCCAGCCGCGGCCACGCGGGCCCCGCGGGAGGCCCCGGAGAAGAGGCGAAGGGCCTCAACGAAAACTCTTCATCCCCCTCCCCCTCCTCCTCCTCCTCCTCCTCCTCCTCCTCCTCCTCCTCCTCCTCCTCCCTTCTTCTTTTTTTCTTTTTCCTCCCCATCTCCTCCTCCTCCTCCTCCTCCCTCCTCCTCCTCCTCCTCGCTCCTCTCCCCGATCCCTCCTCCTCCTCCTCTCCTCCTCCTCCTCCTCTCCTCCTCCTCCTCCTCCTCCTCCTCCCTCCTCCTCCTCCCCTCCTCCTCCTCCTCCTCCTCCTCCTCCTCCTCCTCCCTCCCTCCTCCTCTCCGCCCCCTCCTCCTCCTCCTCCTCCTCCCCTACCCCCTCCTCCTGCCTCCTCCTCCTCCTCCTCCTCCTCCTCATCCTCGCTCGCTCCTGCTCCTCCTCCTCCTCCTCCTCCTCCTCCTTCCTCCTCCTCCTCCCTCCTTCCTCCTCCTCCTCCTCCTCCTCCTCCTCCTCCTGGCTCAGGCATTTGGCCCTGAGATTGCAAGCACGCACTTCAGAACGGCTCGCGCTTGCGAGCCAACTGATACGGAGACGAGCTTGGTCGGCCCATGGCATCGCGCCGCGACGCGCCTGGGATCCGAGCCTCAACGACGATACAGTGGAAATGCACGGGCAAGTGCGGCGGTTGCCCGAACTACATCAGCAGGGCGGAATGCAGAGCGTGCGGGGCCAAGGCGCCGCCCAGCATCATCAAGCCGAAGGCTCAAGCTCGCGGTGCCCAGTGGGACAAAGCCAAGAACCGGTCGTCTCACTTCGGCGACAAGGGCGACGGGGGCAACGGCAATGAGGCGAAGGTCGCGGGCCTCAGTGTCGCCGAGCTGCTGGAGGCCACCAATTAAGGAGGGTGCGCCGCTGGATCTCCCCAAGGGGGGGGGGGGGTTAGACCCCCCCCCCTCCCCCCTTTCCCCGATCCTTCGTGGGCGAACCCCCCCCCCCTTTTCACCCCCTTCCCCGACCCGTCGCCGGGGACGCCCCCCCCCCTTCCCCCCCTTTCCCGACCCGTCGTCGGGGACCCCCCCCCCTCCCCCCTTTCAAGGGGGGGGGGGGGGGGGGGTTGGGGGGGGGGGGGGGGTGGGGGGGGGGGGGGGGGGTCCCACCCCCCCCCTCCCGCCCTTTCGCCACGCCGAGGTGAGGGCCCCTGACCGCCGGAACCCGACCCCCGGCACCCCGACCCCTAGTCCTCACCCTAGCCCAAACCCCTAATCCTAACCCTAACCACTAACCCCAGCCCCAAAGATTACTCACTACTCATTACTCACTACCCACTACTACTACTACTACTACTACTACTACTACTACTACTACTACTACTACTACTACTACTACTACTACTACTACTACTACTACTACTACACTACTACTATTACTACTACTACTACTGCTACTGCTACCACTACTACTACTACTACTACTACTACGACTACTACTACTACTATCGTACTACTCTACTACTACTAACGACTACTACTACTACTACTACTATTACTACGACGTACTACATACTACTACTACTAACTACATACTACTGGGCTGCTGCTGCTGCTGCCTGCTGCTACTACGACACTACACGACTACTACTACCTACTACTACTACTACTACTACTACTTCTACTACTACTACTAGGATACGACTACTACTACTACTACGAATACTACTACTACTACTACTACTACTACTACTACTACTACTACTACTACTACTACTACTACTACTACTACTACTACTATTACTACTACTCGCTAGTCGCTACTCACTTCTCACTACCCCTACTCACTACTCACGACTCACTACTCAGCATCCACTACTCACTACCCACCACCCACCACTCGCTACTCACTACTCCCTACTCACTACTCCCTCCTCCCTACTCACTACTCACTCCTCACTACCCACTACTCAATACTCACTACTTACTAAGCACTACTCACCACGCCCTATTCACTACTCACTAATCACTACTCATTACCCACTACCCACTATCCACTACTCACTACCCGCTACTAACTACGCATTGCTCACAACTCACTACTCACTACCCACTACTCGCTACTCGCTACTCCCTACTCCCTACACAAAACTGACTACACAGTACTCAGTACTCGCTACTCGCTACTCCCATACTCGCTACTCAATACTCACTACTCACTCCCCGCTACTCACTATTCACTACTCACTACTTACTACAAACTACTCACTAGTCACTACAGAGTCTCTAGTCACTAGTCACAACTCACTAGTCACTGGTCACTAGTCACTACTCACTACCCACTACTCATCAATCGCTACTCACTACCCACTACTCGCTGCCCACTTCTTACCACTTACTGCTCCCTACTCCCTACGCACTACTCACTACTCACTACTCGCTACTCCCTGCTCGTTACTCACTAATCACTACCCACTATTCACTACTGACTACTCTCTACTCACTACTCACTACTCACTACGCACTACTCGCTCCTCACTACTCACTACTCGCTACTCCCTACTCGCTACTCACTACTCACTACCCACTGCCACTACCCACTACTTTCTATTCATCACTACTCACTACCCACTACTCACGACGCACTACGTACTACTCAGTACTCACTACTCACTACTCACTACTCACTACTCACTACTCGCTACTGACTACTCACTACTCACTACTCACTACTCACTACCCACTACCCACTACGCACCAACCACAACTCACTACCCACTAATCACTACTCGCCACCCACAACTCACTACCCACTACTCTTTACTCCCTACTTCGTACTCAGTACTCACTACTCGCTACTCGCTACTCACTACCCACTAATCACTACTCGCCACTCACTACTCCTTTATCAGTACACACTACTCACTATTCACTACTCACGACTCCCCACTCCCAACTCCCTACTCCCTACTCGACACTCACTACCCACTACTCACTACCCAATACTCACTACTCACTACTACTCACTACCCAATACTGACTACTCACTACGCACTAACTCACTAATCACTACTCACCGCTCCCTACTCTCAACCCCGTACTCCCTACACGATGGAAGGGGTGCCCGAACCCCCCCTTCCCCCTTCCAGCGCCAAGGGGGGGAGGGGGGGGGGGTCCTGAACCCCCCCTCCTTCAAGGGACGGGGGGGGGGGTTCGGGACCCCCCCCCCTTGAAGGAGGGAGGGGGAGGGGGGGGTTCTGGACCCCCCCCCCTTTGGTGTATTCAGGGAGATCCACTGGCGCACTTTCCCAATTAGGCGCCGGCAGCGGCTGGCAAGGACGGCCTGACCGAAGGCCAGCTCTCAGTGGTCGCACCTGCTCCACCCAAGCAGGAGGTGGCCGACATCGCCTCGAAGCCGCTGGCCCAGGTGCTCCAGAGGAAGGCGGACAAGAGCAAGCAGGTGGAGAAGGCCAAGGTACGCGTGGAGGAGCGAGGCCAGGAGCTGGCGGCCGCGCAGGAGGCCTATGACGCGGAGCTGCGGCAGCTCCGCGAGCACGAGGCCAAGCTGGCGGAGCTGGAGGCGATCGAGAAGACCAAGTTTGCTGAGGCGGCCATGGGCACCAAGGGGGACACGGTCGCCCTCCTCGACCAGCTGGCGCTGCCCCTCGACGCCCTCGGCCAGATCGAGGACATGCCGGACGGCAGGGCGAGCCTCGCGGGCGCCCGTGCCGTCGCCGCCAAGACCAAGGAGAAGCTCCTGGTCGCTGAACGGGCTGCAGCCGCAGCCAAGGAAGCTCCCAGCGCTGGCGGCACTCCTGCTGCCGATGGCCCCGGGGCCTCTGAAGGCGGCGGCGCAGCCAGCGGAGGCATGGAAGTGGAGGTGCCCGACTTCGAGGTGGACCAGGACCTGGCCGACCAGGT